TGTACATGACTAGATGGAAAGCTGTTTTATAATGGACATCATATCACATCATTGAGGATTTATAGAGAGTATTATATATAATATATAATATATATAGTATACTAATATATTAGTTATTATAGTAATATAGTATTTTAGTATAGTACTATACTCAGTATAATATACTATATTATATATTATAGAGCATGTTATACTATACTGTATCATATTATACTATATATGTATATATATATATATAGTATGAGACTACTTGATCTAGGCAGTCATTTGGCAAAAGATGAAGTCGAACCCATAGCTCATGTAGAACACAGAAAAGTCCAAACAGATGAAAGGTTTAGATGTAACATACGATACCATACAGTTAATAGAGGAAAACATGGTGAATTCCTTTTTAAGTTTGGAGTCAAGAAGGCCTATCTATGGTTCACATGGCTTAGATTTCAAAAGCCATTTATTAATATTGAGAAAACAATTATATCAAATTATGATCATTAATATAAATATATTATAAATATTATAAATAATATAAATCAATTATATTAAGACACACACACACTTGTCCATGGCAAAAATAACAACCCAAACAAAAATATTATAAGCAAAGTCAAAGGTAACTCAAATTAGAAAAAAAAAAAATTGCAGATCATATTTTAAAAGGCTAATCTACAAGTATATAAAGAGCTCTTATAAATCAAATAGTCCAACATGAACATGGATATGAATAAGTCCCATAAAGTACTAAAAATGGCCCATAAAAATATTTCAGCCTCGCTCATAATAAGAAAAGATGTAGTTAAACTTCAGTGACATATTCCTCATTTGGCATACACCCAAAAGTTTGAAAACACACAGCATAGGCAAGAATGTGGTGAAATAGGAACTCCTATAATTGGTGAGTGTAACAAAGTTAGAACATTTATGGACTGTATACAGTTATAACAAATACAAATAGAAACTCTTTTACTTCTTCCTTTCCAATTTGTATGCATCTAATATCTTTCTGCCTATTCATATACAAAATGGCAGTTTTAATTATTGAGACTTCATAGTATTTTTAAATACCTGCTAAGTCTAATATCCCTTCATTGCTTTTCTTTTTCATAGTTTTCCCGTCTATTCTTAGTTATTTATTTTTCCTTATGACCTTTTAAATCAGCTTGTCTAGTTCCAGAAAAAATACTATTAAGATTTTTATTGACATCATGAAATTTATAATTTAACTTAGTGGAAATTGATATATTTATGTTGATTTTTTTCTATCCAAAATAATGATATATCTTTCTTTTTGTGTGAGTCTACTTTGTGTCCTTCAGAAATATTTTCAGATTTTTCTCAAATAGGCTTTACATGTTTCTTGTTAAGTTTACTCCTTGGCCTTTTACCTTTTTATTGCTTTTGAAAATGATTCCTTCTCTTTCATTATATTATTTAACTTGTATTTATGTGTGCAAAGACTAATGATTTCTGTATTTTAATAGTTGTTTCTGCTCCCTTACTGAAATTCTATAGTAATTATAGTAATTTATAGTATTTTATTAGTTTTATAGTAATTTATTAGTTGATTTCTTTCAGTTTTCCAGGTAGTCATATCAAATGCAAATAGAGATTTTTTTTTGCTTCTTCCTTTCCAGTCTATATGTCATCTGATATTTCCTTCTTGCCTAATATATTTTAATGTAATGTTAACTATAAATGATGACCTTGGAAAGTATGCTGTTTCTGAGTTTAGTGGGGCTGCTGCTAATGCTTTCCCATACATGATGTGATTAAAACATAATATAAAATCATCTTGAAGAAGTACTTATTAACCCCTTGGGGGGCTTTTTTTTTTTTTTTTTAAATCTAAGGATTGTTATTGAATTTGGTCAAACGTCTTTCAGCATCTATGGTAGTGATTACATGCCAGGCCTTCTTTAATCAGTGGCTTGAGGTTCCCAGACCAAGCAAGTAAGGTGAATGTGGATCACAAATCTGTTCAAGGACCAGTTTGCTTCAGGCTCCCTCTATGGCGAAGGTTTTACATTTGGGGTCCCAGATTAATGTGGGCAGCTCTTCTCTTAGATCTTAGGCAGGCCTGTGCTTGATTTTCTTCTCTTCTATTGAGGCCAAACAACCAGAGTCCAATCTTTTTTCAGATCAGAAGTTGTGTCTGATTACCACTCTGTGTTTGAGCTTGCTCCTCAGTTTCTGCCTAGCAATTCTTTGCTAGATGGTTTAGGACCGTTAACAAAAAAACATATCCATCCCTTTTCATTTTGGCATTTTTTTCCCCTGAATGACCTAGCTGCCATTATTGGAAATGAGAATCGTTCCCCTGATCCATTCCCCACACTGCTCGGACTCACCTTGTTCCAATGGGAAGCTGCTTATGTCGTTTATCTGCTTAAAGCAAATCTTTGGTTTCTTACTGTCTTTAGGAAAAAAAAGATCCATATACTTTGTTAACACTGTTCAGAATCTACCCCACACCTACTTCTCTGAATCCATTTTCTTTTATTTCTTTTCTAAGATTTTATTTTTAAGCAATCTCTACACCCAAAGTGGGGCTCGAACTCACAGCCCCGAGTTCAACAGTTGCATGCTCTTACTGACTGAGCCAGCCAGGCGCCCCTGAATTCATTTTAAACTTTGTCCCTTTTGTGCTGTGAGCATCAGCCTTTTAAGATTTTGTTTTCAGACCCGTGTCATCTCTGGGCTTCACATTTGCCGTTTCTGTATTTGGAACACGGAAGCTGTGTGTCCTCTTGAACTGGCTAATGTACAGCCACTCTTCAGATGACCTCACCTGGCTCTTACATGAGGCTAGTTCCCCCTGCTATCCTATAGCACCCTGTACCCATCTAGTAGAGCATTTATCCTACTTTATTGAAATTACCACTATGTCTTATCCTTGAATTGAAAGTTTCATGAGGATCATGTTTACTGCTCTGTGTCTGGTACATAGTAGACATTCAGTAAATATTAGTTAAATGCAGGAATGAATGGATGTCCAAGATACTGTTCTCTAAAGTATTGAATTAATCCAGCCATTTTTCACCTTCTCTGCTGTTTTCACCTTAGTCCAAGTCACCATCCTCCCTCTCTTACATTTCTGCTGGAACCTCCCAATTGGTCATCTTGCTTCCACTCTTGCTTCTCTGTAGTCTGTTCTCACAGGGCCACCAGAATGAGTCTGTGTAAACGCTCACCACATTATGCCACTCCACAGCTTCTAAACCTATGATTGTTTCTCTTTGTACTCAGAATAAAATCTACACTCCTACTGTGGTCTTTTAAACCATATGTGATATGCCCATGACTGTCCCTTTAATATCATCTTGTATCACTCTTCCCTCACTGTGCTTTCCTACCATGACTGCTTTTTTGTTCTTCTAACACACCAGGTAAAATCCTCTTCCAGGGTCTTTGTTCTGGTTTTTCTTCCACCTGGAAGACTCTTCCCCGGTTAGTGAACTGGTTTGCTTCCTCATTTCATTCAGGCTTCTGGTCTTCCCTCTGTCACCTTTTCTGCCTGTTTTATTTTTCTCATAACATTTATCTCTTGGCATTATATGACTTTTATGTATTTATTTTTTGTGTATCTCACATTATAAGGTAATCTCCATGAGGTCAAGGACTTTGTTCACTGTTGAACACTGCCTTGTACATAGTAAGCAACGAGTAAATGTTGGTTGAATGAAGAAGTAGATGCATGTTTTCAACCACCTTGAATTGGACTCTTCACACATCTCATTTTACTCCTGTCTTCTCTAAGACAATACAGCCAGTGAACATTCTTCTCATCTTTTAATTTCCAATCCAAATAGTCTCTTCACTGTGTCCATCCCTAATTTCCAAATGACATGTAATCACTGCCTTGCCTGATCCTCCATATATAACTTAAATTGGATAATTAAATGTATATTGGCATGTGTAGTGGAAATAAAAATGTATATTAGAAATAAAAATTTTAATCCAAATTTTGATTATTTTAATTTGTGTTTATAGACTTTGTAAATATAGTATCAATGCTAGTCAGCTATCTTGCTTTTGGTTAAAAGCCTTTGCAAAACTATAGAATTGTTCAATCTTTCAGAAGCATGCATTATACAGTTTTAGGGAACAGAATTAAATTTCGGTGTGTTCAAATATATATTGTATTGGAATTGGTTACCATAAATCACTAACTCATTTAAAAAATTTTAAGTGAAATATTTTGTAAAATGACCTTACTGGTCACTTATGAGAAGATGCGCCTTCAAAATAAATTCATATTTCAAAGTTCTGTGCTTGTTTGTGTGGGGTCATAGATAAGTAATCTCCAAGTCACTCCGTGATAATGAGTTGATGCTTCTCTTTAAAGCATTGGGTTTTTGTTTAAGATACTATTGATTTGGTACCATAGTTCATAGGCAGTTGACTATTAATTGAAACACTTTGCTGACTCTAAATTTGTTTTTGTTTGTTTTTCCTATTCACATACCTGTGCTGCCTTCCTAAGTTTTTAGTGCTCTCACATTGGTTGTCATTCGTTCCTCAGTATACTCACCGTATTAGTCAGTGAATTTACTATTAGCTCCTTTTTACAGAATAGGAAACAAAACCCAAGAGGGTAAGGAATTCTTGGAGTTTACATGCTTTGTGAAGGAGGGAGCCGTGACTCTTGGTCTTTTGTTTTATTCTTTCTCTCCATGTAATTTTGTTCTGATTTCTACTGCAGTGTATGTTTTTAAATTTTATTTTGCTAGTTGTATAAACTAATTTATAATTATACCAATTTCTAATTTATATGAATGATGTACAGATTAAAAGGATCTTTTTTTAATGTGTAATACTGATTTGATGTTTTAGATCTTAACATTTACCTGTGATGCCTGCAAAAAAGTCATACTACAAGTTCCCTCCCAGCTAGATGCTGAGAAATTTGTTGGTAGAGGTAAGAAACTGCTAAAATGTGTAATAGATCTTACTTGGTATGATCTTGTAAAATTAGTGTAATTTTTAGAAGGATAGCTGTATTGGAATTAATAGTTAAAACTAATATATTACATTATCATTTGTAATACACATAATATCATTCCAATAAAAGGAATATTGTCCTTTATTGAAAAACATGATTATATGAAGTAGATAAAAAGGCTTAGTTTGAGTAATAAATAATTATTAATATTTATATTACATGGGGGTAATGGCATATGTTATAACATACTTCTATGAAATTGAGAAATAGTATTGAATCTATTTCTTGAGTTTAAAGGTATTGTTTTTGGATTTTAATAATAAAACATTTTGGTATTTTACTGATATATATTTCCAGAAATTGCTTTTTATCAATTATTATTATTATTATTATTTTGAGTGAGAGGGAATGAGAGAGAGAGGGGGAGAAAGAGCAGTGGGGGGGGCAGAGGGAGAGGGAAAGAGAGAATCTTAGGCAGGCTCTGCTCAGCGTGGAGGATGACGCGGGGCTCGATCCCACAATCCTGAGATCATGACCTGAGCTGAAATCCAGAGTCCCACGCTAAACTGACTGAGCCACTCAGGCGCCCCTTATCAATTAATTTTTTTCACATAACTCAAGCTTACAAGGAAAGAGCAGACCAGTGAGAACATAGAATATAATGACTCTAACAATAGATGCAAAAAGTTAAGAAATATTTTAATTTAATAACTGCTGATTAATTTTCTAGGTTCTGTTTAAGTTCTCTCATGTGTTACGCTATAGCTAATTTCAGTTAATAAAGAAAAACTTCTTTTGGTGTTGGTTTACATATTAAAACACTGGAACTCACATGCCTTTATTTTAGGACAAATGTCTCTTTTTTAAAAGGACGTAAAGGAGGTGTTTGAAGTGACATAGGTGTTTATGCACAATTTAATTAACCATATAGTTTCGTATGTACTTTTAAAAATGCAACATTTACAAGTGTCAGTGTAATTTTAAGTTTTTGGTTCCCCACCCCCAAATGAATAGATTACTGTGAGCACTATATATTGTTTTGTTTTACCTTACAAATGATTGCTTGTGTGTATTTTCTACAGTTAACCTGAAGGAGTGCTTTCAATCTGCAAATCTAATTCATTCAAGTGACCCTGATTTCCAAATTTTAGAAGATGGGTCTGTCTATACAACAAATGCTATTCTTTTGTCCTCAGAGGAGAGAAGTTTTACCATATTACTTTACAACACTGAGAACCAAGAAGAAAAGAAACTACTTGTTCTTTTACGGCATCAAACAAAGGTACACCAAACTATAAAAATGAAGCATAATGAATTGTATTCTGCAGGTGTAACATTACCAGGGAAGATGTGGAATCAGAGATGATGTGGGATAGTTCAGCTTGATGAAGAATGGAAACCATCATGCAACTTAACAGTGTTCAAATGGTGGAAAAAGGTTTTGCCACATCAGTTATTCTAGGTTGTCTTTGCTTTTCATTTGGGACATAAACAGAGAAATTGGGAGGCTACAGCATGCGAATTTGAGATTAGACACAAAGAAGCATTTCTTAATCTTTTCCTGTAGAATAGATTTCCAAAACAAATTTTGAAACTCTGTCTATATGTATCTTAGATAGCATAATTTGTAGTCTTAAAAAGTAGATGACTATTTTAGGTTGAGATTCAGACCTCATGCATGCTTATTGGACTCTGACATCAAAGATCCAGATGATTTCTATTCAACCATCGGCCATAATTCAGTGCAGCAGCTTGAGAGTTATCACCATTTTTCTCTCCCCGTTCTGACACAGATTCTCTGTTGGTCCCTGGCTCTTCCTAGTTGCTGGTGAGTGGAAGGTGCATATGCTATATTTAGAAGGCCACTCACTTTATTTATTTTCCTTGCATCTCTCTCCTCCCATGGTTTTGCATGGCAATATGGCAACAGTAACGTTGTTGGTTTTTATTTTATTTTTTTTTAATTTTGCTTCTAGGCTTCCAATTCCATCTCTCTTTCTTCCATGTTCGTACCAAGTTATTTTCTTGAGAGTACTGTTGTGTTAACAGATAGGACTGCTATTTCTTTGTTATCTTTTTTGCAGTGTTGACATTTAGTTTGGTTTTCAAGCACCACCATGGTCTTACACCTTCCCAGTTAATCCTCATGCGAGATGTGTCAGAGTTCCAATGTTTGTGAATAAAGTAACCATGGACTTTATTATTTTTTTCCTGTGTTCTAAATTGAGGTATTAAAGAAGAGGCATTCTAAAGAAAAAGTTCTAAGACGTGCCAAGAGAAGATGGGCTCCTATTCCTTGTTCAATGCAAGAGAATTCCTTGGGTCCTTTCCCACTTTTTCTTCAACAGGTACAATTTACTTTCCTTTCACTGTGAAAGTCTATGGTTTCCATTTTTTTTTTTTTTTTAATTTGGATGATGAATATAAAGTTATTTTTAAAAACAGTTCTGTATGAATACATGAGTATGTGTATTATATGTTTCAGTAAATGGGTATAAATATATATCTTTATACCAGCATACACTTTTTTGCAGTTTTAGTCCTGCAAAGTCCATTTATGAAATTGTAAAACCCATCTAGCACTCTCAAACACGTTGTTCCTTAATGAATTTTCCTATTAGCAAGCATGTCACCTGGGCATAGTCTAGAAACCCCTTTCATAATAGATGAAATTGCTGACACCAGGATAAATGCCATGAAGGGCAAAAGACACATACATCCTTTCCATTGTTTATCCCCAAGTCCACCACTTAAATCGTACTGGATCCACATTTTCTCTCTCTTTCTAACTTTCAGTAGCAACCCCAGCAAATCTTGCCTTCTTCCACTATCCATTGCCACGACCATTGAGTCCTTGATTTGGGTTTCTTTTCTCTCAGTTCTTGAAATTTGAGAGGAACTCTCCTTTATATCCCACCAACAAATTTCATACAGTTGAGAAAAGAGCATCTCAAAGTTGAGAAAGAAATCGTTTGAAAATCATTGTTAGTCATCCTGACATATAGTCAAGATCTTACTAAGAGGATCAAAACAACTTGGGAAAAAATTTGCTTTTTGAATCAAGTACCAGAATATCACACTTGCCAAGATATTATGTCATTTCTATTCTCCCTCATTTCCACCCATCCTTTCACCTCAGCTTCTATAATAAAAAGACGCTGACAAATAATAGAAACTAATTAAGGAAAGCATTTCCCATGGTTTTTCCCTGTATACAGTAACTTTAAACCTAGTGTCTCAAATGTTATGTATAATAAAACTTCAAGTTTAAAAAATTAATGAAAGGGTAATTTTTCATGCTCTGAATACTTTGTTTTCTCAGACAGTTAAAGTCTTAAATGTTTGGTTCACATAGGTACCATTTAGTGTATTTCTCAGTTATTCGGGAAAAACTAAGACACTACTACATTATTTTCCTCATGCCTTGCTCTTGAAATTTCTCAATTATTAGGCTTCCTTATTCTATTGCTGTTTTTTATTCATACATGATAACAAATTAAAGGGAGCAATTACTTATTGCAACAAAAATGGCAACATGATTGCATAAATATATATAGATGAAAGTCTTGCTGAAATAAAAATTTGTCTCTTATGTGTATAATATCTACTTTCTAGATTCAGTCTGACACTGCACAAAACTACACTATATTCTATTCCATAAGAGGACCTGGGGTGGACCGAGAACCTATAAATTTATTTTATGTAGAGAGAGATACTGGAAACTTATATTGCACTCGTCCTGTAGATCGTGAGGAGTATGAATCTTTTGAGGTAAAGTCTAAAGTTTACATATTGTATTAGTAATTATTAAGCTTGGCTGTTTCATCTCCCATTCTCAATTTGCTTACCTTTTTCTGTTCTCTGAGCTTGTTGTCTCTGCTCTGGCTATATCTGATAGCACAGACTTGAAGCAAAAAGAGCTTTATAGAATAGAGAGCATTAGATTCTTAGATTGGTCTTGGTATGATAGTTTCACCTTTTTTTTTTTTACTTTTTAAAAAAGATTTTATTTATTTATTTTATATATAGAGAGAGCGTGCCTGAGTTGGGAGAGAGGCAGAGGGGGAGGGAGAAGGAGAAGGAAAGAATCTCAAGCAGACTCTGTACTGAGCAGGGCTCGATCTCACAACCCTGAGATCATGACTTGAACTGAAACCAAAAGTTACTAACAGACCGAGCCACCCAGGCATTCCTAGATTTAAATATTTAGGTTTGGAATTGCTACAAGATGGCCTTCTAAGTACCTGTGATGCTCTGCTTTCTCTGAGAGTTGTTATGAGAAAAATTGGAGTTGAAATTCATATTATAAAATTAAAAGAAATAAATTGCATTCCACATACAATTTATAGCCATGCATTTGTTCTATTTCTGACTTTCCTTTTTTAAAGTAAAAAATTCTCATGAAGAGAATTATCTAAATATAACTACCAATATGCATGAAATTCTAATTAGTAGTATGTAAGATAATATTTTAGTTAACTGTGCCTGGGGAATTTGGAGTCCTAAGAATCCAAAGTTACTGAAGATCCAGAGAGGGTATTTAAAATCCATGCACTGGAAACTTTCAAACAAAACAAAATAATAGAGAAATGGAAAGATATTCCAGGCTCATGGGTTGGAAGAACAAATATTGTTAAAATGCCCATACTGTGCAAAACAGTCTATGGATTTAATGCAATCCTAATCGAAATACCAATAGCATTTTTCACAGAACTAGAACAAACAATCCTAAAATATGTATAGAACCACAAAAGACTCTAAATAGCCAGAGCAGTCTTGAAAAGTAAAAACAAAAATTCCAGACTTGAAGTTATGTTACAAAGCTCTACTAATCGGGGGCGCCTGGCTGGCTCATTTGGTGAAAAATGTGACTCTTGATCTCAAGGTTGTGAGTTTGAGCCAATGTTAGGTGTAAAGATTACTTAATAAAAATAAAATCTTTAAAAATAAACAAACAAAGGGCACCTGGTTGGCTCAGTCGGTTAAGCATCTGCCCTCAGCTCAGGTCTTGATCTCAGGGGCCTGGGATTGAGCCTCATATCCAGCTCTCTGTTCAGCGAGGAGCCTGCTTCTCCCTCTGCCCCTCCCCCTGCTCGTGCTCCCTCTCCCTCTCTCTCTCAAATAAATAAATAAAATTAAAAAAAAAGATAAACAAAGCTGTACTAATCAAAATAGTGTGGTACTGGCATAAAAATAGAGACCTATATTAATGGAATAGGATAGAAAACCCAGAAATAAATCCACAATTATATGGTTAATTAATCTTCACCAAAGGAGGAATGAATATACAATGGGAAAAAGTCTGTTCAACAAATGGTGTTGGGAAAACTGGTCAGCTATATGCAAAAGAATGAAAAGAATGAAACTGGAACACTTTCCATACCATACACAAAAATAAACTCAAAATGGCTTAAATGTGAGACCTGAAACCATAAAAAGCCTAGAAGAGTGAACAGGCAATAATTTCTCTGATATCAGCCATAGCAACTTTTTTTCTAGATATGTCTCCTGAGGCAAGGGCAATAAAAGCAAAAATAAACTGTTGGGACTACATCAAAATAAATAGCTTCTACACAGTGAAGAAAACAATAAAACTAAAGGCAACCTACTGAATGGGAGAAGATATAGAAGATATTTGCAAATGACATATCCAATAAAGGGTATCCAAAATATATAAAGAACTTACAAAACTCAACACCCAAAAAACAGATAATCCACTTAAAAATGGGCAAAAGACATGAACAGACATTTCTCCAAAGAAGACATTCAGATGGCTAACAGACACATGAAAAGATGCTCAACATTGCTTATCATCAGGGAAATGCAAATCAAAACCACAATGAGATATCACCTTACAGCTGTCAGAATGGCTAGATTCAAAACACAAGAAACAACAAGTATTGGCAAGGATGTGAAGAAAAAGGAACCCTCTTGCATTATTTCTTTATTTTTATGAAAGATTTTATTTTATATATTTATTCCAGAGAGAGAGAGAGGGAGAGCATGAGTGGGGAGGAGGGGCAGAGGGAGAGGGAGAAGTGGATTACCCGCTGAGCAGGGAGCCTGACACAGGTGGGGCTTGATGTGATCACATCTCACGACCCCGAGATCATGACCTGAGCTGAAGTCAGATGCTTAACTGACCAAATCACCCAGGCACCCTGAACCCTCTTGCTTTGTTGATGGGAATGCAAACTGGTGCAGCCACTGTGGAAAACAGTAGGGGGATTCCTCAAAAAGTTAAAAATAGAACTATCCCACAATCCAGTAATCACACTGTTTGGCATTTACCCAAAAAATACAAAAGCACCAATTCAAAGGGATACAAGCACCCCTATGTTTATAGCAGCATTATTTATAATAGCTGAATTATGGAAGCAACCCAAGTGTCCATTGATTGATGAATGGATATGAAGAGTGGTATATAAATGCAATGGAATATTACTCAGCCATAAAAAGAATGGAATCTTGCCATTGCAATGACATGGATGGAGCTAGAGAGTATCATGCTAAGTGACATAAGTTAGAGAAAGACAGATACCATAGAATTTCACTCATATGTGGAATTTAAGAAACAAAACAAACATGCAAAAGGAAAAATAAAAGAGAGAGAGGCAAACCAAGAAACGGACTCTTAACTATACAGAACAAACTGATGGTTACCAGAGGGGAGGTGGGTAGGGCGATGGGGGGAGTATAGGGGATGGGGATTAAGGAGGGCACTTGGGATGAGCACTGGCTATTGTATGGAAGTGTTGAATCACTATAGTACACCTGAAACTAATACAACACTATGTTAACAACTGGGATTAAAATGAAAAACTTAATAAAACAAAACAAAACAAAAAAACCCCACAAAATAATCTTCAAGACTGTTCTGGGAAAATAATAATAAAAGCTGTTAACACTCATCCACAATAGTACAGTACTAGTAAAGAAACCAAAATTATCTACGTTATTATATTAAACATAAAATGCTGTAGTACACCATGGGATTAACCACCTCCTGTGACATTAAGGTTCCGTCCACATCCCCAAACAATAACAAATGGTGAAACTCACACCACCGTGCTGAACAGTCTCCAAATTGAAGCCAAAGGAAGTTGGAACCATATTTTAATTTTGCTTTTTTCCTTATTTGACTCTTCACAGCTAATTGCCTTCGCCACAACTCCGGATGGATATACTCCGGAACTTCCACTGCCCCTGGTAATCAGAATTGAGGATGAAAATGATAACTACCCAGTTTTTACAGAAACAACTTACGTTTTTACAGTTTCTGAAAATTGCAGAGTTGGTGCGTACCTACCTTAACAACGCATGGCAACTTAACATTTTAATTCATAAATTGAATTTCACTGTGGCCGTTGGGAGGCAGCATATTCCGCTGGCAAGAACAAGGGACTTGCTAATCAGGGTTGCTGTGGGTGGGAATTTTGCTCTGCCTTTCACTAGCTGTGTGTTCTGACCTTGGGCAGACTTAATAGTCTTGACAAACCTTGTTTTCCTTATCTGTAAAATGGGTTATGATATGCGAGATTGTTGTGAAGATTAAATGATGCATCGTACATCTGGAACGCAAAGCCTAGTGCCCGAAAACTAGAGAAATTACTCAGTTACTTCCTGTGTGAGATAAAATAAATACTTGTAAGAGAAAACACTCTAAGAAGAATAAGTCTTTGAGCAATTAAAGTCTTAGCCTTGAAGAGATCTACTGATATCCCATACTGATTAAATGATTGGCAGTACTCTGAGCATTATCATAAAGGTCATTGAGAGTAATACAAAGGTTTTCTCAATCTTATGTCAATGGACCTTATCAGCTGGAAGTCAGAATGCAATTTTTGAGTCTTCCAGAAAGATCTAACTAAACCAAGAGTTTTGGACACATTTTTGACCATTTGATCAATGTAAGGGCAGACTTAGAAATAGAAAAAAGTTAAAGAGTAGTTAGAATTCTTTAGTCTAGAAATACAATGGCAATGGATGGATATTATCAACATTTATAAAATTATACAGTAAATACGGATATGGTCACCAAATTCCCAAATGTTAGAATGCTGGGATATATTTAAAAATGATACTTTATACAGAAGTCTGCAAATGTATAAAAACTACTACTCAGCCATATAATTAAGTGGTCCAAAAGCTTTTTGAGGTAGATGGAAAGGAATGAAATAAAGGGGATGTTGAAAATGTAAAAGTTTTGGAAATTAAAGAGGATTTTTCAATATGTAGGTTCTACCGTGGGACAGGTATGTGCAACTGACAAAGATGAACCTGACACGATGCACACGCGTCTCAAGTACTCCATCATCGAGCAGTTGCCAGCATACCCCACGCTGTTTTCCATGCATCCAACTACAGGCGTGATCACCACATCATCATCTCAGCTAGACCGAGAGGTAACACCAATATCAGAGCAGACGAAACCTGATTGTCACATCGCCATTGAATCATATCTGTATATATCTTGTATAGCGCCTATAGATGTGTTTGTGAAAAGCATGTTGTGAATCTAATTTTAGAAAAGTTATTAAGTTTGCTGATGGAGGTCATTAACCTTGCAGTGTGCTAATTTTGAACTGCTAATTTGTTCTCTCTTGAAATGTATGTTTTATAACGTCAAGTTACCTAATATTAGCATTTTTATAGTATAGTAGTAAAAACAGGAAATGTCAAATATGAAAAGTGAAACTTTTGGAAATGTGCAGGCATTTGTTATTTACAGATAACAATGCTTTTTTTTTTGCCTGTATCATCTCTTCCCTGACAGTCTCATCTACATTCTTCCCCTTATATAGTTTAAGAGAAAATTTATTTCTCTTTGATCTCTAGTTTACCATTTTCAATCTACTGCTTGAAATCCTGATTTGGATGTTTCACAGATACCTAAGATGCAATACATGTAAAATTGAACTCTTTTTGCCTTCTAAACATGCTCTCCTTGCCGTGTTTTCTAGGTAAAATGACATTAATACATTCTTTTCCTGTTGATAATTTTTCTCTTGTCACCCTGAGTTCATGTTCTCAGAATTGTATTTAATGTCTCCTCTTGCTCCCTTGTTCAGATCACTTTCCCAAACATGGTGCTGTTACCTCCAAAATGACCTTGTATTTATATTCTGTCCATTTCCACTGCAGCTATCCTAGTTTAGTGAGTCATTCACTTGGCTATTCAACTATTACCTCTTCCACCAGGCATTTATTCATCTGAATTCTTAGAGAGTTTATCTGGCCTACTTACTACGTTTATAATCCTTAATCTTAAGGTATAGTAATATATGCTTGTCAGGTATTTGATTCCTAAAAGTTCATACCAGATTCATTTCATTTTCCTCTCTTTTTTCCTCATGGATTAGAGTAGTGGTCCTCAAATTTTCTGGTCTCAGGACCTTTTACACTCTTAAATATTATTGAAGATTTCACAGGTCTTTTGTTTATATGGGCTATATTTATTGATATTTATTCCATTAGTATTTAAAGCTGACAAAAGTTTAAAATATGTATTTATTCACCCATTTAAAAATCATAAATATATTACACATTATCATAAATAACATTTTTATAAAAAAACAATTACACTTTCTAAAACAGTAAATAATTTACTGAGAAGAATGACACTGTAATGTATTTTTCCAAGTCTCTTTAATACCTGGCTTAATATAAGACTGGTGGATTCTCATATCTCCTTCTGCATTCAGTTTGTTATAATATGTAGCTTTAGCTAAAGTATATAAAGAAAATCCAACATGAGATGAAGTTAGAAAAGAGAGGAGTATTTTAATAGTAATTTTAGGTCATTGTGGCTACTCTTTTGATACTACACCAAAACTTGACAATTTTTGTTTCATAAATGTTAGTTTCATAAATGTGTTTTTTGCAATGTGTACTCTAAAGCCTTATCAAGGAGCTTTCATACTTTGTTATATTAAATCCATTGGTCTATCTTGTACTCTGGACAATTTATCCATGTATAATTTTGTAACATCATGTGTTAACCATTTGGAAAATAGTGTTTTACTGAATTATGTAGATCTTCCAGAGATTGACACATTTCATTAAGCAATACAGGAAAAAAGTCACCTTCTCACCTCCCTTGATATCACAGTGGTTGATAAAAGTTTTCCAGAAGTCTCATTTTTGTTTGAAACTCCAATTTATCATTGACAACAAATAGTTGTTTTCCTTGAAGTGACAGATTCACTTTATTAAGATATAATGTCTTCCAAATACACTAGTCTGAATAATGATAGATGTCTTTCATGTAAAAATGGTATTTTGTGCAGTAAAACCCCCAAAACAATAGCTAGTTTAGTTCTTAAATAATCACACAAGTACTTCCCTTGAGAAGAACACTGTATGTTATGTAGCAGAACTGCTTTATGCATACCTCCCATTTCTTCACTAGACTATGGGTTGAAATTTAATAAAATTTGGTAAAATTAATCATTTTTATTGCAGCTACAAGGACATTCCTAAGTGAAATTATATTTTATTTTATTACAATTGTATTTATTTTATTCATAAATTCATTTGTTTTTACTGTATGTGCCAGTGAAGAGTACAGTATCATTTACAGAATAAATGAATGAATGAATTGCTGTTATAACTCCAGAAATCATATAGATTTTTCATGGAATTTATGTGCTCGGGAAAAGCAGATGATAGACCAAATCCTCTTTTATCAAGTCTTGAATAGCTCCTTCTACTAAGTCAGTTGAAAACATTGGACTAATGAAGGTGTCTTGGAGTGTTACCCAAGAGTGCTCTGGAGACACTTATTGATGCCAGGATTCCAGCTTTCATCTGTTCCTTTCAACCCCTTACGCTCTTTAAACATTACACTTTTTCTTCTATCTGAAGATATCACAAGTTAATATTTAGGTCCCAAACTTCATCTCTTTCTTTGTTTTATTAGCCAGTTGATTATTTTGAATAAATCTTAATTCACTACAAATAAAATATGTATTCTCTCCTTGAAAGTACACTAGCATGAGTTTTTAAATGAGGCCATTATTTTTCAGCTCTGCATATGTGACTGATTATGAGAGAAGAGTACATCAGGAAAATCATATGTGTAAAAAGCATAGAGATAGAGAAATTTTAGTTTTATTTTAGGTAAGACATAACAGACAAGAAAGTTTAAGAAGTGATGGAGTTGAGAGAAGGGTAAACATTCTTGGTAGAAGGGCAGGATGGTTTTTTACATATTATTTTGTCTTATGAAAAGAGGTGAATTATATAGGAAAGGTATTAGTATCATCGTTTTATAGAAGAGAAAACCTAGCTAAAAAGACTTTTCCAACTGCCAGAGAGATTACATTTGTTATTTTTAGAGTTAGGAAAAGAACCCAAGGCTCCTAAAATTCATCCAGAATGCATTATTATTAGAATTGCTTTTAATCCTTTCATGCCTCCATACTTATGATAAATGAAACCGTTATGAGGAGAAACACATTTTTTTTTGAAACTAGCAATGAGCCTTCTACAGTCCCTGATGAATGTAAAGCCCTAAGAACCAGATTACATTTTCCATAGACAGAAAAAAAAATTACAGTTCCAGATCTTTTTATAAATGTAAATATTCAAAAATCTGCCTTTTTAGGGGCTCCTGGGTGGCTCAGGCGTTAAGCGTCTGCCTTCAGCTCAGGTCATGATCCCAGGGTCCTGGGATCAAGCCCCTGCATCGGGTTCCCTGCTCAGTGGGAAGTCTGCTTCTCCCTCTCCCACTCCCCCTGCTTGTGTTCCCTCTCTCGCTGTGTCCTTCTGTGAAATAAATAAATAAAATCTTTAAAAAAAAAATCTGCCTTTTTTATGGGAGGCTATTTTACTTTATTATTCAAGACTGGTGTAAGAGTCACTGCCATATATTTTTCAGCCTAAGAATGTACTTTGGATAGGAGATAAAAGATTTTGATTAACTGCTAGGCAATTTAAAATGTGCTATGGCTACCCCTTCCCTTTCTGGTGAGTAAAACAAAAACCAATTTTTCTATATTCTATAGAAAGCAGCACTTTAAATTTGAGAAACTACTCTATTTTTATAAATTAATAGAAAATTACTAGTGTGAGGAGATTTTTTGCCAGTACATGAAAACTGAAATTTTACTTCTTAAATTTTTAATGCAAGAAAAATTACAGAGTGTAAAATAAGATTTTAATTACAATGTTGCTTTCACTCAATAATTAAATTCCTTCTTTTCAGGTAACTGATAAATACCAGTTGAAAATAAAAGTACAAGACATGGATGGTCAGTATTTTGGTTTGCAGACAACTTCAACTTGCATCATTAATATTGGAGATGTAAATGACAACTTACCAACATTTACCCGTACTTCTGTAAGTACATGATAGTAATAAAAGAAGAATGTAGGACCCGGTGTTAATTGCTAAACATACATAACTCCAACCATGCCTGCCCCATTATTTCAGATGCAGTGTCCCCAGTCACATGACAGTAAATTGGACTTAGGGTTTGAAATCATGTAAACATAGTCCTTGGAAATTAGAAGAACTGAGTTTATTTCCCACAGTGCTCTGTTTGTGACAGTTACTAATTAAGGCTTTTTTGTTTTTATTATTTTAGTATGTGACGTCAGTGGAAGAAAATACAGTTGATGTGGAAATCTTACGTGTTACTGTTGAGGATAAGGATTTAATGAATACTGTGAATTGGAGAGCTAATTATACCATTTTAAAAGGCAATGAAAATGGGAATTTTAAAATAGTAACAGACCCCAAAACCAATGAAGGAGTTCTGTGTGTGGTTAAGGTAAGAACAAATTAGTAAATTAGTTATTTGTAGCTTATATTATCATAGATTAGCATACTGGAGCTTAATGAAAAGAGGGAATTCTGGGTAAATATAAGAATAAAATAGATACATAGGTAAATATAAGTGCTATGTTCTCCGTAACTATAACAGGATGAGTATATTCAAATTGGAGAACCTTTTATAAAGTCTTGGTATTTAAAATAATATTATATATGTGTGTGTGTGTGTTCAATAGTATCCACTTTGTAACCAACAAGTCTTAACAATTAAAAAACTGGCACAGCTTTGATGCCCATGGGACAGTGCCAAACTTTCCTAGCCCATTCTTTCTGTAGCTGAGTCAGGGAGCCTTCACTTATTTCCTGAATTTCCCAAATGGTGAGTTATTCCCGGTGAGACCCATAGGGATAGCATTTGTAGATTTGTTCGTCTGTATCTAGCACACATTACAACCTTAGCTTCCTTCTTGGTTGAAGATGGGAATCCTCAACCATTCAAAGATGCAAATACTTGTGAAACCTCCTTCTAATACTATTCTGCAGCATCTCAGAAGACTTTCCTGCCAATTCAGAAGCCAGTTAGCCCATAAAGCCACCTGCTTTGGACACAGTCATAGTCTTATTTCTGCTGCATCTTTAACTAGAACATGATTCTATCCTGGGTCCATGTAGTTTCCCTTTTGTACATATTCACAAAGAGCATGCATCAAAAATGACAAATCCTTTTTCTTACAATGATGAAAATTAAGTGCAGTTTGTAGGTTAATTTCTATGTTTCAAAATAGCAAAGAAATGTCTTTTGAATCATATCTCTTGCCTCATCCAACCCCTGCCCTAATCCTTGGTATTCTAAGAAGCAATTTTATCTCTGTGAAGTCCAAGACCTGACAAGATTTCTGTCTTGCAGGAAATGGCTTTACCTATTCTCATTACAGCTACATATCAGGCAAGATAAAATAAAAACCTTCCATTAAATTTGGTACCACTGGTTCTTTAAAAAGTAACTGGGATGGAAGAGCTAAAAAAGGAAAGTGTAATGTCCATGAGCTTTCTATTTTCTTCTCTGTCCTCTCTGAGAAACATTTTATAAATTTGACCCACATTTTCCATCCCAAACCAGGTACAGATAATTCTGTTCATTTCAGAAGGATAGGATAAGCTGACCCAAAATGAATGGAGTAGTAAATAACCGTTGATTAGGATATGGAGGTCCTAAAGTAATTTCTCAAGTGTTAACCTTGAAACACCTTCATTAAATGCTTTTTGAATTCATTATCAGGACCTCTGATATTACTCACAGTTGAGAAACATTTTTTGTTTTGTTTTGTTTTGCTTTTCTGGTTCCACCCAAATACTGAATCAGGTGGATTCCCCTCCTCCAACCACCACCTAGTTTCTGGGTATATATTTAATATTCTCCTGACTATTCTCAACACTAGTTATGTATGCCAGCATGGCCAAATCCTAAATGTCTTGATCTGATTTTCAACACACTTGTGTTTTGTAGCCACTGAATTATGAAGAAAGACAACAGGTGAACCTACAGATTGGCGTAGTTAATGAAGCTCTGTATTCTAGAGAGGCTCGTTCACGATCAGTCATGAGCACAGCAACAGTTACTGTTAATGTAAAAAATCAGGATGAGGGCCCCGAGTGTAGCCCTGCAGTGCAAACCGTTCAAATTAAAGAAAATGTGCCAGTGGGAACAAAGAGCAATGGATATAAAGCATATGACCCCGAAACAAGAAGTAGCAGCAGCATAAGGTATCCTGTTTTAGTTAACTCCAAATTTACCATGTTTTCAAAATTCATAATTTGTTGGGGCACCTGGGTGGCTCAGTCGGTTGAGCCACTGCCTTCAGCTTGGGTCATGATCCCAGGGTTCTGGGATTGAGCCCTGCATCGGGGGGGGTGGGGGGTCCCTGCTCAGCAGGAGGCCTGCTTCTCCCTCTCCCACTCCCCCTGCTTGTGTTCCCTCTCTAGCTGTCTCTCTCTGTCAAATAAATACATAAAATCTTAAAAAAATAAAATAAAATTCATAACTTGTTTTGATGCCAGAATTGTAATTTGGCCTATGATACAGTTTGTTATTTTCATTCATCATTACTAATAGGTATAAGAAATTAACTGATCCAAAAGGGTGGGTCACAATTGATGAAAAGGAAGGATCGATCACAATTTTCAGAAACCTGGATAGAGAGGCAGAGAGCATCAGAGATGGTATATATAATATCACAGTTCTTGCGTCAGACAAAGGTAAGAACTTTGTGTTTAAGCCCATCAATTTCCGCCTACTTACATCCTCAGTTTGTAAACCACCTACATCGACTTGAAATCAACTGCATATATTCTCAAAATGTATTTCTCTCCAGAAGACATAGAGCAATTGAAAGGTTTGCTGTAATTTATTAACTCATGGCTGCTTTCTAATAACACCCTCAGTTTTCTGTAAAATAATTTAGTAATAGAAATACCGGAAACCATAATTTATTAAAAGTAAACAATCATTGAAAATTGAGAAAGTTACTTTAATAAAATTAGCTTCAATTTATCTAGTCATGTTTTTTAAAATACTCGCTTTGGCAGGAAAATTCATTACACGGAGAACATACTGATTACTCCCATAGTGCATTCCTACAAAATTGTTCTATCTTTTTACAGAAACTCTCAGTATACTTGGGGATTAGAATTCTAATTAAGGACATTACATAAAAATAATCATAGTCATGATTAATGGTATATTATAAAATTAGAAAGACAAACACTGTGAATCCATAAAACCATATGAAATGTAAAATGTTCTGTGAGTCCTACAAAATGGAGAGGAATATGAGCACAGTGGTTATATATGAGATCCATTTAGTGCATAACATACATTTGATCTTTGTGCATCCATAAACTAAATATGCTAACTACAGCAAACATAAGTTATTACACTATGGTTTACAACATTAGAGTTTAGAAGCAATCTTGGAAGATGTTTTAGGTATTTCAGTTCTCTCTAAATGAATGAGAAATGGTTCCTATCCATTGATTGAATCGGTAAGGTTGTAGTTATTATTAATTTAACTTTGATTCATTAAAGACTGTCCTTTAAAGACCTCAGTTTCCTTTGTCCCTTTGTCAGGACATGCTTTTTGGTCAAAGGCAAATGAAAAAGAAGAATAACATGAAAATCAAATCTGGGGGCACCTGGCTGGCTCAGTCGTTAAGCGTCTGCCTTCGGCTCAGGTCCTGGTCCCAGGGTCCTGGGATCGAGCCCCGCATCAGGCTCCCTGCTCCGCGGGGAGCCTGCTTCTCCCTTTCCCACTCCCCCTGCTTGTGTTCCCTCTCTAGCTGTGTTTCTCTCTGTCAAATAAAACCTTTAAAAAAAAAAAAAAAGAAAATCAAATCTGTTCTTTTTACATTTTTAACAGTCCTTGGCAAATGGCTTGTTGATGGATCAGATAAATTTGTTGTCCGGAATTAAGTGATTTGGGATATAATTTTATTCTACATTCTCCTTTGCTGCAGAAGAGATAAAATAATTGAGAGTTCAAATATTTGTATGGAGTTTAGATGAGCTCAATCATCATTGTGAAATAGAATAAATGTGTCATGGGGCCTTTCCCATTCATTTCTGTTGAAGAGGGTAGGGGCTAAATGTTACAACTATTTATTTTATGAACTGAGATCATACAAAAGGGTTTTGTTTTTTTTTTCCTTGTTTTGTTTTTATCTTTTTCTAAAATCTATGCTGGCTAATTTCATTTGGACCCTCCCAGCTGCTTCCTAATGAAAGATGCTCTCTTGGGAGCACTGACCTCAGGTCCATTCTCTCTTCCCAACTTCCTGCTTCTCTACAGCACTTGCTTTCTCTTTCTAAAACTCTTGCAAGGCTTCTGTGTGTAAATTTTTCCACACTTTCCTCTGTGGTCCATATACTTTCTGGTACTACCTTCTGCTCTCCTGAGCCTAGCTATTTCTTCAACCTTGGGTTCAATTTCTCTCTTCTTCTCAGTGTTTTCTCAAATTGAACTCTCTTGGCAGTGTCATTCAGCTTTAGGTTTCTATGTTTGTTGTATTATTCCAGCTTTAGGGAGGAGTGTGTTTTCATAATTTTTGAAACATTGATCAGGAGGGTGCCATGCAGAAAAATCACAAAACCATGGGTAGTTCACTTTCCATGACTTCATATTTGGATTTAGTACTTACTCATATAGAATTGCATTAATATTAGAAGGTGAGCATTGCATGCCTACACTCTAATGAATTAGAGTATTATTTATTTAAACAGCAGATTTAAAAACAGCCATAAAACACTGAATTAGATGTCTAAGATCTTTCTTCGGTTTAAATATTGTACACCGCTACGAATCACAATGCCTCAAAAAATGGAGTGAATTGCACAACTCTAAATGTTGAATGGAAGGGAAGCTCAGGCATTTAGCACGGTGGTAAAAGAGCAGACATCGTAGAAGTCAATTTTTAAAGACAAGGCGATCCATCAGATTCAGCCAGTAAGCCGTGTGCTTTCAACTCTGTGTGGACTCCAATGGCAAGAAATGTTCGAGATATTCCACAATCCCAGTTTTCAGAGAGAGCCAGAACACAGCACATAGGGTGAGGACAAGAGATTTTGAGATGTGAAATTATTCTGCCCTCCAAAAAAGTATGCCAGGCAGGTAAAATACAGATCCCCCTGCTTCCTTTGGCTCCCTCTCCTCTCTCTTTTTTTAAGTTGTCCAAAGGGAGAGATCATTGTCTTGTTTCTTACATCTCATTCCTTCTCTCCTGGTTCCCTTTTCTTCTTGCTGGTGTACATCCTTTACTAGTTCTCCCAGTGGTGTGGTCTAGGTGATAAACCCTACCCATTTTATTCTGAAAAATATTTTAATGTCATTCTCCTGCTTGATCTGATCATTTGACTTAATGTAAAGTTTTGAGTTAAGTTCCTTTCCCTCAGCACCGTGCAGGTCGTACTCCATTATCTTCTGGTGTCTCATGTTGCTGAGGTTTATCTACTGTCAGTCTCATTCTTGTCCATTTGTAGATAATGTGTCTAGGTAACTTTTTTGGCTTCCTAGGTTGCATTCTGTAGTTTTAATAGAATGTTTATGGTGTGAGTTTATTTTTATTTATGTAGCACTGCCTTCAGAATATATTTTTAAAAAAGATCCATGCTTCTCTTTAATTCTGGGATATTCTCAGCAATTATCTCTTTAAATAGTGCTTCCCTGCCATTCTATTTATTCTCTTCTTCTGGAGTCCCTATTAGAGGAATGTTGCTGTTTTATTTCCACTGGAACTTAAGCTATAATTTCATTGTTCTTTCAACAGTTACCCTTTTTTATGTCTTTGGAGATACTAAATACACATGTTTCAAAGATGTCTTGCATAGAGTGAAATTAATCTTCTGGTGGGTGATTTTGTTGGTTTTCTTTGTAGCATTGCTCTTGCTCCTTCTGGAATTTTGATTTGCAAACCTGTACTACGTATGAGGTGTTCGGTTTGCTTTCTGTTTTTGGTTTCTTCCTCTCTCCCACTTTACCGCATAGCAGTCTCATAGTTGCCTCCATCTTGTCCTTTTCTGGGTCTCACATTTCAGAACCAGGTCTCCTGGCCCTTGATGACACCTCAGGTATCGCAGGTCCTGTCGCCTTGGTCGAGACTGCAGGGCGGTGCCTGGTCTTCCAGCTTTCCCAGGTTGGCAGCTTCATGTAAGACACAGCCCCAGACAGCATAGGTTTGTTTATCCTCTTGTCCATCCTTGATGTCCCAAGGCCTCCTGATTAAGCAGAAAGAAGTGATCTAGACACAGAAGTCCTGGATTTGTGTTCAGCTTCAGACTTCACAACTGTGTTATTGATCTGTGGCCTGGACCCACATCCACTTCATCTTTGAAGCCCCTAGATTTTCCGGTACGGTGCCCTGTACAAAGTAGTTATTCAGTAAGTTTTTATTAAGTATAGAGACAGATGCATTCCTTAGGCTACAGCCACTGTGATGAGTTTGGTTTACAAGTGATTTTCTGCTTCTGGAATCTTTTTACCCTTCATACGTTTCTGTGTACTGTTTTCTTCTCATCTTCCAAATCCATATCTTCTACCTTTCTATTCCCCTGCTCCAAAACCGTATGCACTTTCTATATGCATATCCTTAGGCTGGACTTTTAGCTCTTCTCTGTGGTATCAATTCCAGCCAATCTGTCCATCCCCCTCCTTATGTCCAGAACGTGGATGTGCATACTGTGCTTTCCCACCTTCTCAAGTCTCCTTGTGCATGTAACTATACAGCAGGGCTCTTGGTCATATTTTCTCCTTTCAAAAAATCCGTCAAAACTAACCTCCATGGAAGTTTCCATGTCTTTTGCAGCTATTTAGTGAACGAATGACAAATCGAATAGCAGTTATTTCAAATAGCACAACCTATTTGAAAGTGATCATTTTTTTTAAAAAACATTCTTTAAGGGCATAGCCTGTGACTGTGCTTGTCACCGCCATTTATATGTTACTGGTGCCACATCCATATTTAAAACTTTTTTTTCCATGTACAGTTTCCTAGTGAAAACCCAGAACATTAAAAAAATTCTGTTTTTTTCATCCGCTTTTCTAGACGGGAAAACATGTACTGGGACCCTGGGAATTATACTTCAAGATGTGAATGATAATGGCGCAGTTATTCCAAAGCGGACAGTAGTAATCTGCAAAACTGTCCTGTCATCTGCGGATATTGTTGCTGTCGATCCCGATGGGCCTACGAATGGCCCGCCCTTTGACTTCAGTTTGGAGAGTGATCCTGATTCAGACTTAGAAAGAAAGTGGAGATTGACAAAAATTAACGGTATGTGAATACTAAGTTGATACCAACTTAGTTCTTAGTTTGTGCTTCTGACTTTAGCCACGAGAGGATCTGTGTTGACGAGAATGACAAAAACGAAGGGACTCTCTCCATGCCAGCTTCATCGCTCCCTACCTCGGCTCTTAACAGTTCAGTGCATCCTGTGTCTCCTGAAGCCCTGGTCACCCAGCACTCCAGCCTTCACGACTCACCACCTGCTATAAACTGAGGGGGTTTGCCTTTAAGGTGTCCTTGAATGTGAATTTCTACCCCATGCTTCCAATGAATATTCCTCCATTTTCTTTTATGACAGATTAGAAAACAAAGCCAAGGGAAGGGGAACAGGAAGGGAGAAGGAAAGCGAGGACACACAGAAGCTACAGTGACGTGTTAAGGCCCTGTGTCCTGAATCCTGCTCTGTGAACTGACAGCATTTTCAGAACTAACCTTATTTTTAGATTTTCTCCTTTCTGCTGATTTGGTGTCATAACATCATTTCTTTTTAGACTGTGTGGAAGGAGGTAGTAATTTTGTTTAATATTCCTGCTTCATAGAGTAAAACATTGGCAGGATTATGTCAGTCAAAACTTTGTTACTTTAAAGTTCTACTCATCTGTGAAATAACCCAAAAGTCTGGGAAACACCAAGTTAAGAAGAACGTATCCCAAATAGTCTTTGAAGTCACATAGGCTGTGTTCAATGCTGGCTCCCCTGTTTATTAGTGATATAAATATGACCATGCTGTTTATTTTCTTTGGGGCTTAATTTACTCATATGTAAAATGGGATTATTTGGGGGAGTAAACAAGATAATGAATGTATCAGACCATGGCACATTATGCATCGGAGTAAACAAGATAATGAATGTATCAGACCATGGCACATTATGCATCATAAATTTTGGTTCTGCTAGTCTTCTTCTTATTTTTTACACATAAACTTACCAAGTTAACCATGCTTTCTTTTAAAATGGACTTATTCACTGATTTCTTTACCCAAACACCCAAATTTATATTTAGAGCTTCAAACACCCTAAAAATAAATGAGACTGTCACCCTAGGCCAGTTAAATGGGGAGGGGTTATTCTCAGGCATGGGCATGTGGCATTTATATTCAGAATAGTATTCTGTCTTTGGATCTGTACCCGAGACTGAATTAGATATTGACCTGGATATTTTTCTACCCTTCACCTAAAAAAATACATCAAAACTAAAAAGTATACAGTTGGTCCCAGGGTCCTATAGGACTGTGAGACGGTATAGCATCAGGACAACTCATGCTTGCCACTATGTTCAAGGTCAGCCATGTTCTAAGTTGTCAGAATCAGTCTCTGACAGTGAGTCACAACTGTTTGTTTGTTTGGCACAATATATGAAAACAGAGTAAGGGGAAACATCCAGAATTTCAGATTCTGATGAGCCATGTATAAAAGCAAATTGCACTGAATGGTGATATTAAAAATTTTCAAAGATATGATAAAGACCAATGTCTTGGCGCGCCTGTTACTTACGATACGAAGGGCTTGTTTATGGGCAGAAAAATATATTATTATGAGAGCCGAAGGAAGTTTATGTGAGAGGCAGCAGAGAGAAACTTGCATGTACAGTATGTTTACCGTTGCTCTAGATGAGAACTCGTCAGTCCGTTCACATTCTCAGTCCTAGCAGTGGTGCCTTCCCATCAGGAAGATCCGTTTGTCAGGAAATATGGTGAATATCCTAATGCTAGGAGAAATTAGTGACATTCTCTATCACTCAGTTTTATTTTCTTTCAGATACGGCAGCTCGTCTTTTCTTTCAGGAGGACCTTCCGTTTGGAACGTACCGAGTACCTGTGAGAGTCACAGATAGACACGGCCTGTCACTCATCACTCCATTGAATGTTATGTTATGTGACTGTGTTACTGAAAATGACTGCACGCTTCGCACAGATCCGAGGACTGACCACGGAGAAGTGAGACTTGGAAAATGGGCCATCCTTGCAATATTGTTGGGCATAGCCTTGCTCTTTTGTAAGTCCTTCACCAACTCGAATAATAGCCTTTGCGATAACTTTCAAGACACATTCTTAGAATCAGCATTGCTATCTGTAGCTGTTCATTTGTGTATAGTTCTAGGTCTACTTAACACAACATACTGAATTTATATATTGAAAGCTCTCTTCTCGTGTTATCTCAGCATAGATATAAAATTCAGCGCAGAAACACAGCATTTAGCACGTCTTCGTGGCATACCTGGTTAGGTCAGACTTTCTCCACAAGCCATTGATGTTTTCTGGAAAGCTGTCTTTGTATTAATCATCCTAAATTCATAACTCTACATTGTTTTATGATCAACTGAAGTAACTTCTTCCATTCTCCAGGTATCCTATTTACCTTAGTCTGTGGGAGTACTGGGGCAGCGAAGCAGCCCAAAGTATTTCCTGATGATTTAGCCCAGCAGAACCTCATTGTGTCAAACACAGAAGCTCCAGGAGACGACAAAATAGTAAGTAATTCATTCTGTTTTAAAATAAATGCAGAGGACAAATTGGCCTAACCAACTATAATTATCTTTTCTGAGAAGAGTTCTTTTGAAATCAGGTAACTGACAATATATAAAATTTCATTGGTCCTCTGGACTAGATAGAACAATGTTGATTCTCATGGTAATATATGGCCTTTCAATGTGGTCATGTAGTGTTACGTAATAGTAAAAATCCTTTAGCATCTCATTATTATTTCTACTTAAAATAGAACTTCAACTTTAGGTCCAGACTTTTTTATATATTGAAACTGCTGTTTGTGTTGTAAAAATATTTCATTTAATTATTCACAGATCATCAGCATAATTATTTTTAATTTTTTTTTTCTGGCAACAGCAATAAAATGACTGCAAGCTTTGATCAGTGTGGGAAGAACTTTAATGGAGTCTTTCTGGTTCTAATATGGGTTAGCAAGAAGCCTGAGGTCAAATACATGAAACAGCAATGCTAGCAAGTGACTACAGAACTCCAGCTTTGATTTCTAGCCTAGTACATGGATGAGGAACATGTAAATTTTCTACAGAAAGCATAATGATGATAAGAACAGGAAAGATTTAGAAAACAAAAGTGTGTTGACATCTGGGAAGGTATTGAAAAAAATAAAACTTAGGGTTTCCTACAAAAACACAGCATAGAAAATCAGTGACCAGAGCTTTGGTGTTCTTATTTGCCCTGCTGATTTATTTTTCTTCATTGAGATGGCAAGGATTTATTATTGCGGCTAAGATTTTTATGGCAACTCTTTTTTCTGTATTTTTGTTTTAGTTGAAGGGAATGACAGTAGACACTGAATAAAAATACCGGTCCCCATTTCTGTTTCTGTTCTAGTCTAGTCCAGTCCTTCTAGGTGAAGGGAGTGAATTTAAACCAAGCAGGGTAAATTCACGTGAGATGTTGATACCGGAATCCTGATTTTGAGCCTTGAGATTTCGGAAGGATTTAACAGATGACATTGTACAGTGTTCTAAGAAGTTTTTTGAGAAGGAATATACATTCAGCTTTCTGATTTGTCTCAAGGTATAGACCGCTTGACATCTGCAGTTTGCAGATGCATTGGCGCTGCATGAAGTTCTGGGGTTACAAAAGTCGGGTATTCAGGATTGCTAAGACAGATTTAGTTCTTGCCCTCAGGGAGCTTACCTTCTAACACAAAAATGTATGGCATTATCTGCATGTTGTTGTTGTTGTTTGCCTCTGTATGCAAATTGTTTGCATTTCAGTGCCCCACGAATGGCTTCACAATGCATACTGTGGGCAATTCGGCTCAGGGAATTTGTGGCACCCTGGAATCAGGAGTGAAAAATGGAGGGCAGGAAACCATTGAGATGGTGAAAGGTGGACACCAGACCCTGGAACCGTGCCGGGGGACCGGGCACCATCACACCCTGGATTCCTGCAGGGGAGGACCTGCGGAGGTGGACAACTGCAAATACACCTACTCCGAGTGGCATGATTTCACTCAGACCCATCTTGGTGAAGTGAGTTTCCCTGAGGGTCCTACAAGTTTATTTTGATCTCTTTTCAACTTTCTCAATTATTTCAATTTAGTGGCCTGACTCTTGTTTTCAGTTAATGATTAATCTATTAATTGTAAAGTTGTTGTTCCTTAATTTTGATTTAGTAATGCACAGATATTAAGAGGACATTTACTTTTCCTCTCAGTTTGTTTGGTTTTTAATTCTTATGGAAACGATGTTAGATGATATTTATTTATTTATTTATTTATTGGACATGAAATGTCTTATTTGGTATAAGAACAGTCCCAGTTTATGTGTTTTTGTTTTTAAAATATAGAAGTTATCTGTGTGATCATATTTAAATTATTTTTTTTCCATGACTTTGTGTGAATATTTCCCATGTGACAAATTGAATCTTAGAAACCAGAAGCGTGGTATGAGGCAATTATAGCCTTATGGTCACTAAGCCTATCTGAAAAGATCTCAGCCCACATCAATTTGGGCTCAGTTTAATGGGTGCATCTCACTTTAGACATGATTTTGAAAGGGAAACTAATGATTACCTAACATGAACCCTCGTATACTTGGGTTTGCTGCCACATATGTGAGATTTTAGAAACATGCTGTAGAGTGAATTTATAGATGATTTATGATACAGACCAATCATGTGCATTTTTTATATGTAGGAATCCATTAGAGGACACACTCTGATTAAAAATTAAACAATGAAAGGTAAATCAAAGCAATTATTTTTATGTTAGTAAGTTTTGGTGTTTAAAATAATAATAATAAAATATATTGTGTTTCTCCCCTGGCAGAAGGTGCAACTGTGTAATCAGGATGACAAGCATAAGCATGCTCAAGACTATGTCCTTACGTATAACTACGAAGGCAAAGGATCGGTGGCTGGTTCTATAGGTTGTTGCAGTGAACGACAAGAAGAAGATGGGCTTGAATTTTTGGATCATTTGGAACCCAAATTTAGGACACTAGCAGAAGCATGCGTAAAGAGATGAGTGTATTCTAATAAGTCTACAAAAGCCAGTGGCTTTATCTCCCTCCCACCTGTGCTTTTTTCATTACAAGCCAGGATTTTTGAAAAATAAAAGATGCTGTGTTTCGGGTTTTCCCCTCTTTATTTCCATGGGATCTCTTTAGCCAAGTGGGTATTTACAGAAAAATGCTGTATATACGTATACAAATTTCCCAGGTTTTACATAGTTATTAATTAGTTGTCTTCCACCCAAGGAGACCTACAGATAGAAAAATTAAGGAAGTCTACATTATTGTTTACATTTGGGTATAATGACAATAGCCAGTTTATAGTGCAATAAAATGTAATGAATTCAAGTGTGTGTCCTACACTACTTAAAGTATAACCTGATGGAAAATTGTAGAGAGCTCGCTTTAACATTATCTTCACTTACCTAATTAATTTTTTGTGTGGTGCTTGAAAACTGCTGTTCTCCTAAACATTTTAAAGTGTGTATATTACATTCTTGATAATGTTTTATTCTTATAACATTAACTTTCTTTTTAATGCAAAGGGAGAGTCCCAGCCAGGCATTGACTGGTAATACAATTCCATTTTGGTGGAGTTTAGTTTCTGTGTTTCATTCTATATAAAATCCTGCACTGAATCTACGTTTCTCTGTTACCTACCTTGTCAGAGAAGTTTAAGTTTAAAAACTGCTTTAAGAATGTATTTTTACTTCTGCAGAGTTTCGGTCCTTGGTCTGCCTCTGTCTCTAATATCTCTCTCTCTATATATTTCTCTCTCTCTCTTGGTCTCACTATCTCTCTTTCTCTTTATTTTTTAAATTTCTTCTTGGGTTGGAGAATCTAAATATTTTGAAAAGCCATCTCTCTTCTCTTCTAAAGCGAGTGATTCTGTTTATGTTTTATGTAAGTGTATTATTCTGTTTTTTTTTGAAATCTGTGTAATGTTGACATTATTGTTTCAAGTATCTTGGTCATTGCTTCATTATTTCCTCAACCAAGGAACTAACTTTGCCACTGAAACTAAAAATAAGTCATGCTTTTATTAGATGCAACATTCTGTGTTAACAAAAGGGTATTTAAAATTGGAATGTGGGGCGCCTGGGTGGCTCAGTTGGTTAAGCGACTGCCTTCGGCTCAGGTCATGATCCTGGAGTCCCTGGATCGAGTCCCGCATCTGGCTCCCTG